CACTCGTAGTAGTTGGTATCGACATTGACCTTGAGTGGTGACTGAGGATCTTGCGAGCAACAGTATGTCGCCGTCAGAGAAATCAAGTTGAGGATGTCGCTCGATAATTGCATCCTTGCCGAGAGCAAACGCAAAGTCGTACATCACCGTGCTGTGGGCTCGATGGTTCTACGAGGGCGTCAGGAGATGTCGGGATAGGTGCAGCGCAAGACATACATATAGTCGAAGGTGATGACCCAAATCAGGCCGCCAATGCTATGCAGATAGCGGGGAACGGAGGTAATCTCTCTCCTCCACCGTCGATCGCGATCGGCCATTATCGCATGCGGCGGGAATATGTTTTGTTCGTTCGTCCATTGCTGATCCGTATTATAAAACAAATTCACCTGCTTGACAAGAACAGCAGTATAAACCGGAAATTAGAGGAAGGCGGAAGGTGAAGAAGCCCATACACAGTGCTCCGTAAAAGCGAACATGTGCGAGAGTCGCCACAAATCCTGGCGCGCACGCCCGACCCAGCGCTGGAGGCACATGCAGCAGCTAAGGTACGGCACGAAGTAGAACTCCTCCTGGTCACTGTTCGCCGCTTGTAGTCGAGCAGCTTGCTCAGCCACTTGAGGGTGTCTCGCGTCGTCCGCCGCCGCTCCGCCTTGAACCCGTGCCGAAACGTGGCGGGGAGCATCTCGAAGCACTTGAAGGTGTTTCGCTGCCCGTCCGTCCCGATGCCATCTCGCAGGCGGAGCGGCATGGACCGCGGGCTGAGGATATCGCCGGGTGGCCCGTGTAACAGTCGTAGTACGCGTCTAGCCGCTCGCGCCAGAGCAGGAAATGGTGGTAGTCGGCCAGTTTCCCAATCGTCCTTGATACTGGTGGTCCAGAGCTGGTAGAACGCCGCAGGGAGGGTCTCAGGGCAGCCGAACTCGAGCGAGAAACGGACTGCCGACGTAGGCACGGGGACGTACTGGCGGATGGGCGTCGGACACGACCGCGCACGCCGCATGACCCCCAGCTCAGCCTCCCGCCGGCCCCAGCCCTCGAGCGTGGTCGACTAGTCGTCGACAACCTCGCGGATGAGAAGGCTACAAAGAGACTCGATCATGTACTTGCTCGCGATGGTGGGGAATCCGGGTCCCAGCGTCGGAAATTGATGACGCTGTAATAACGAACGGTCAAATGCAATGACGCAGTCGGAGAGGTCGCGTATATACTCTGAGCCATTCGCTAACCTCTTCGCCGACGCCCCTCCAACCCAGTCCCACGACCAAGTTCCGGCGATTGCGATGCTCGACGAAGGCCCCGGCTGAACTTCTTTAGTTCCTCTTCAGTCCTTTTCTGAGTGAAGGCGTGAGACGTGCTTATGGACTTGAGAGGCTTGTCAATTTGGAGATGAACGACCGATGCCTGGAATGACATGGCCATCGAGGAAGTAAAGGCCTGGATGAGGGTCGATTGCCGGCTGTTGTTCAACCATGGAAGCAGCAAACACATAGCAGGGGTATATGCGCAGAGAGGGAAAGACCTTAAGGTGCTGTACGTTGCACCAGACTCGTCGCGTGACCTGCTGATGGGAAAGACGGAATTTGCCGGGCGCTGCAGAAGCTGCACCATTCGAGAGACGCTTCAACTTCCCCCAACGTTCAAGACAACATCAACAACGGGCTCGTCGATCTCGACTCTAACCGGGTTTCTCGACTCCACAGGCCAGCATCCGCCAGCCACTGCCAATGCATACATAGACAGATACGCGAACATACCATTACATGTATCACTCACCGCATATGACCAGATGAGTCAGGCTGTCAGCCTCAATTGCTTCCTGCGCTGCAGCCTACGAGTGCCTTGAGAAGTTTTGCTCCGGGGATCGTCATTCACCGATAATTCGCAGATTCGTAAGGCTTATCAATCACGGACGTCTGGTCAAGTGCATCAATGAAGGCAACCAGCAAGATCCTTCTGCAAGGCCACCCTTCGCGGGTGAGCAGCTCAGGAGGCTCTGGCAGACGTACATAAGGGCAAGTGCATTCAGCCCTGTGGCCTTTATCTCGTCCTCATATCTCTTTCCTTCAAGCACCCAAAAGCAGCGTTTTGAACACACCGTGACCATGGTTTCCTACACAATTGTCGGCGCGTCCCGTGGTATTGGCGTGAGCTCTTTTCTACCTACCTAGTCTATCCGATGTTGAGGGCAACTTCAACTCTAGATCGAGTGGGTCCGCCAGCTGGTGTGTTGAAGCCTGTGCACGCACACATGACAAGCATTAATCGGATGTTGCTTTCCCTGGTAGAGCGAAGACAAGAACAACGAGGTCTTCGCCATCGTTCGTACCCCCACCAATACCACGAGGCTCAACGAACTGGCGGCTTCACGCTCCAACATCTATGTCGTCAAGGGCGACTTCGTCGATGCCGAATCGCTTGCGGTGCGTTCTCTCTCTCTCGTAGAGGTTCCCATCCCCTTCTTTCACCCAGGCCGCTGCCGTGGAGGTTGGCAAGATCACCGGGGGCAAGCTCGAAGTGCTCATCAACAACGGTGCGAGCACCATCGGCTCGTTCCGCGAAATCACCAGCTTGTACGCCTTCCTGGTCTCCCTTCTCAGCCCCGCACCTTACCTACTAAGGCCCTTCTCAGCCCGACTCCCAAGCAGCTCGAAGACGACGTCATTGAAAGCGTGTGTGCCCATCCATCTCCACACTCGAGGTGGCCCACTGACCCTTTTCCGACGCGACCAGATCCGCATCAACGCGCTCGGCCCCGCGCACGCCGCGAACGCCTTCCTCCCGCTCCTCCGCGCCGGCGAGCGCAAGATGATCGTGAACCTCTCGACCGGCGCCGGCGACCTCGACATGGTCCTCGCCTCGAACTACTCGTTCTCGGTGCCCTAGTCGACCTCCAAGGCCGCGCTCAACATGTTCAACGTCCTCTTCGCGGGCGCGCTCCGGGAAGAGGGCTTCACCGTGCTTGCGATCTCCCCCGGGTTCGTCGACACGGGGGATAAGGCACCGCGTGAGTGTCCGCTCATCGTTTCCCGTTCTGTGCGAGAGTGCGTAAAGCTGACTGGAAAGCCGCACACAGCGACCCCGGAGCAACTGCCGTTCATCGCGAAGATGGTCGAGGAGTTCAAGCGGGTGTCTCCGCAGTGGGACGGGAAGCCGATCTCGCCCGAGACGTCCGTCAAGATGATGCGCGAGGTGCTCGCGAAGACGGGCCCGGCGGACACGGGCGCATTCGTCTCGCACTTCGGCGACAAGCGGTGGCTGTAGGAGTGGGACCAAGAGTGTAAGGATATGGAGGTTATGAAGCGGACTGTGCTAGACTCACAGATAAACAAAGTTGGACAACGACGCATGGACGTAGTTCGTGGTTGTTGGAAGGGCGCCGTTGCCGGGCGCCTGCTTGATCACCTGAGGTGCTCGGGCCGTCCCCACGCTTGGTGAGCTCGGGCCGTCTCTCCACTTTCGAACCGATTCCACTGCCCCGTGCACGTCACAACCGTGTAGCTGAACACGGCGTCCCATACGTACGTACAGCGCCCCTATCCTTCCCGTACAAGTTTTTCAACTCCGAAGCAGCAGCCGTAAGTAGGTAGCAGCGCACAACTCTGCATTCCGGATCTTTCCTCGACTGATCTTCCGTTGGTGGTGTCCAAGGCGGGCGAGCTTCTGCACTTGACAACTCGGGCCACCCATACGCCTCAGGCCTCAAGCATACCGGCACTCTTGGCACCAGGCACGCAGGAGCTTCTTTGCCCGAGGCAGACAACTAACCTACAACGTGCCGAGGTCGAGGCTGACGAAGTCAATCAGCACCCGCGAAATGGGTCAGCGCGTCAATTTCGCGCCTAACAGGTACCACGCTCGTTCTATTCTTACACCATCCAGGCCTCCGAGTCTCCGACGATGACTGCGCATGCGCCCGCCGCTCAAACTGCAACGCCGGCGGACAGGGAACGTGTGCAACACGCTCCCACATGGGGACAGCACAACTCGGCATCCCAACGGCACACAAAGCACAGCCGTTGGAGTTCTAGATTCGCATGCAAGTGGATCAAGCTTTCCGAGCCAGCAACACTGGTACAAACAACAATCTCCGCGGATAAATCGCACCCCACTCCCATTCGTGTCGTAATGTCAAGCGGTGAGCAACGTGCCTCCATCCTCGGCAGCCGATCAGCAGCACATCTCGCACGGACAGCCTGAAGGGCGGGCGCAATGGGGTTAGCACGCGGGGAACGTGGCGCGCCAACGCGCGGGTGAGAGACAGACGCACAGATGATGTCGGCGCAGCACTCGCAGCAGTCCTGTATGGGCGCATGTGCGTGAGCACGATAACACTTCCACCATGCCCCCTCGGCGCGCCCTCTCCGGCCGCCGCGCACGAGGGCCGCCGTCGCACGAGGCTCACCTTGCAGCACTCTGTAGGACATCGGACGAAAAGCGCAGTCAGCGACACTGCGGGCGAAGAGGGCGGACGGTGGGGCACGCACCGAAACAGAGGAAACACTCGATCAGGCCGAGGAAGCAGTCCTGCGCGCGAGAACAGTGATGAGCGTCAGGGAGGGGGGGGGGGGGAGTTCGCTCGAGGGCGCAGTGCTCACCCTGCCGGCACCTCCACCGCGGAGGCGGGCTGCGAGTCCGCGCTTGCGTTGGCACTCCTGGGTCTGCTCCTGACGTGCGGGCGGGTTCATCACGCCTGTCGCGCATGTGGTCTCAGTGGGCTCGAGCGCGTACAGCAAGGACAAAAACGCACTCATCTGGACAGCCTGGGGCTGGATGGTGGCGGTCATCGCGGGCTTGGGGGCGTCCATGGTAGAGCGGGGGGCTGGAAGAGGTCGGGAAAGTGGGGGACTGCGGGAGGAAATGAGGCCATGGGTGGGCAGGGAGATATTTATATGTAGTCAACGAACAGCGTCAGACAGTCCCAGACGCGTGAGGTCATAACAGCCTCCCTGCTAAGAATAGATTTATGCTGGGTATATACAATAAGGAAGGCCCATTTACACGGCGGAATGGCCGAGCGGTCTAAGGCGCTAGAATCAGGCTAAAATACGTCTATCTAGTCCGAAAGGGCGTGAGTTCGAATCTCGCTTCCGTCATCCTTTTTTTGCAAGCCGAAAAGCTGACTCCGCTCCGGTACTGATGGCCGAGTGGTCTGGGGAGATAGGATTGGGCTCAAATATGTCCGTCAGTTGGGGAATACACACAATGTGCACTTCTGGCGCATCATGAGACAGCCCAGAGGGACGTAAGGCAGAGCATAAATAGTGTGCAAGTGAGCGGGATGAGAAGCTGGTGGGAGAAACGGAGTGAGGAGGCAGGCAGAAACTTGACGGTGATTGGAATGATCAGAGCATGGTAGAAGAGGTCACTCAGAGGGCTTTGATTTGATCGGGCGTACAAGAACAGGTTACTTGCAGACACATGACTACGCCATCTCGATCAAGCCCTGTCACACATGCATCTCCCTCCTGACTTTCACACTAGCTGTTCTACACGAAATTAGTGCAATCTGAAGGATATCGGGAAACAAGGTGGTGTCAGACCTTCTGGTGTGCACGTTTGACTGGCTTGGAGCCAGAAGCGTCGGCCTGGGTTGCGGAGTGCTTGCGCTTCCCTTTTTGAGGGGCACTGGTTGCAGAAGGAGCAGCTGACGTTGAGAAGGAGCCAGTGGTCGTGGATGCTGAAGGATCAAGAATGCCGTTGTCCAGGGACTGAGCTGTTTCAAGCCGCAGCTGCCACTCTGCATGAGCGCGTCTGCGATGGGGCCTTGTGTCCTTGTGCAAAGTGTCTAGGAACTCGGCAAGATGGATGCGGTTCGTCCAGCCGTTCTTGCATTTCAGACTCAGGAGGTGGTCCACGAGATCACGTTGGGTTTCACTGGGGGACAAGGGACAGGGAACATGACGTGCACAAAGCGGTCACGGCAAAAGTGAGACTTACAACAAGTCCTCGGGGTTACAGTGCTTGCACTTGAAGTGCTTGTCATCTTCAGAGTTGGGCCTGACTGCATTGATGACTTGAGCCCACTCCGAATGGGCCCAGCTGCCCGGCCAAACTGTGAGCTGCGGAGGTCGATGAGTTCGAAGACGAGGACAAGCTTAACTTGTGGTGGATCAGAACAGAGGTCCTGGTGGTATGCGTGATGTTGCAATCTTTGGCGTTGCAACGCCACTTCCAGCCGCCTTCTCCTTCGGACTGAGCAGAGAGGCATCGTGGCACCCAGCAGAGTCACAGGAGCCGGTCAGGACAGCAGAGCGGCTCAAACGACTCACAAAGAAGCGAGCTCTGTCTGCTTGGTAGGCCAGCACGGGGCTCCCGATATGGAGCATGAGTTTGAGGCGCAAGGAGTTTACTCCAATGTCGAGGCCATTCTCTGTGAACACATCAGCTTCTGTCTGATCGTCGAACAGGTCCACGTCGGCGCCATGGCTGAAGTCCTTCTCGATCCAGTCCGAAACCTGTGGCGGAGGTTGGTCGCCGGAGTGGGGCTCAGAGGGGGCACCGTTTTGGACCGTCTTTGTGAAACCAGCAAGGTCGATGGAGATGGACAGAGGGAGGCTTTTGCTGAAATCTTGCGCACACTGGGCCGCCACTTCTGGATCGAGTTCTTCATCTGCAAGCAAGAAGTTCGAGAGGTGGACGGAGGCAAACTTGGAGCTCGAACGCAGGTCGGAGACTCACAGACAGGTGGTAGAGCCGCTTCAGACGTCGAGGCATTAGACGTCGAGGCTTTGGACGTGGCAGCTTCGGACGTCGAGGCTTCAGACGTCATAGCCGGCCCGATCGTCCGTTGGTGATGCTCCACCGCAGCGGCCAACAGGGTCGATGGGTTCTTGACCCGGTCGAGGTCTTGTCGAGCCTTGTCGCGTTCTGAAACCGTCTCCGACTCCATCAGGTGGGCGCGGAGCTGCTGCCTGGCTTCCCGCGTCTTCGGTTTGAGGTGATTTTTCACGACCTTGCGCTTGGCACTTTCCCGGGCCTTGTAGGCGGCATCGAGCTTCTCACGGGCCTGCAGAAGAGATGAGGGTGTTGGCGTGTCACACGAGTGGGGCAGATCGTCACCTCTTTCACCTCGCCCTCTGCCACGTTATACTCGCACTTGATCTGAGCAAAGGGGGGCTTGCGGCCCTTTGGGTCGATCGTGGGAGGAAGCTTCTTTGGTGGATTGACGACGAGCGCACGGTACGCGGCGTAGGCGTCCTCAACGGCTTCGAAAACTTTGTCCTCTACCTCGTCCTACAGAAAGCGATCAGGGCCCGAGGTCTCGAAGAGGACGAAAGTGAAAGAGCGCACGCCGAGCGCCTCCTTCTGCTCGGAGGTGAGCGCAACCTTGCCGTGGGAGAGGACACCATAGCGGGTCTTCACGTTGACTTGGAGGGCTGGAACACCCTCAAAGGGCTGGCCCGGCATGACGGCATCGTTCAGCGCCGCACGACCGAGCATTGCGATGACGGCAGAGTCCTCGTGCATCTCACTCATGTTCGCTTTGAGCTGGTGGTGGCGTGAGCGAGGGGATGAGCGCTGAGAACGCAGTCCAAACGAACCTTTGCGAGGTCCGGGAGGACGTGATCAAGCTCCCCGCATCGGAGCATGACGAGGTTGTAGACGAGCATGCGCTGAGAGTAGTACTTGGAAAACGTGGTGCCCGCGTCGGCGTGCTTGGCAAGAAGAGAGGCCACTTGGTCACCGAGCTTGGAGGCGATCTGATGGGGGAGGACGATGGGGACGGCAGCGGGTGAGCGTGGGGACTCGGTCGGACTGACGGAGGGCGACGTACATCGTTCAGTGCACCCCTGCGAAAGTCGTAGAGGCCACGGCCGGACCAGAGCCCGGCGTTGTCCCCGAGCGCCTTGATGGTGTGGTAGATCCTAGAGGTGAGGGTGGGCGAGTCGTTTGTCAAGCCATGGTCTCCCATGGCGTAGGCACAGAACCTGGACGGGAGGGAGTAGGTGTGGCGCAGAAACCAAAAAGCGAGAGGGAACTCACAAGGGCCAATCGAGGCATTGTTCGCGAACGAGGAGGTGGGTGTGGTCGTCCTCCATGATGTCTTGGACCGTGAGTTTGGGGTCGAACGCACCACGGAGGAAGAGCCAGAGGATGAGCCAAAGCTGGGGTTCGAAGATCAAGTTGTGGGCCTTGTTGACCGGCATGAGGCAGACTTTCTGGGTGCTCGGTTTGAGGGAGTCGAACTCTCCCTGGGAAAAGAGGTCAGAGTGCGAAGGCGCGGGGCACGGGGGAAGGCGGACCTTGAAGTTCAAGACGGTGAGGACGACGCGGAAGCGACCCTTGCTTATGCGTGTGAATTTGAGATCGCGGAGCTTCATGTACCTTCCGTGCCGCAAATACAGATCGCAAGACGGCGCAAAAGAGCCTGGTCGGAGGCCGGTGAAGAGAGCGAGGGAGATGAGGGTACAGTTGCCGATGGCGTGAAGGCGATGGTTGTTGGTCGTGTTTTGCAAGGCTTCCTGGATGAGCAACGAGGCTTGCGGGAGACCCCAATGGTCGACCTCGAGCCGATGTCGGGGCAGTTTGTGTGTGAGGACGACTGAGGGGGTGGGTGCGGAGTGAGCGGGGGAGGGGTCGAAGGGGAGGAGGAAGGGAAAGGGACTGACGAGAGTGTACGCAGTTCTTCAACCTCTGGTACAGACCTCCGTCGGTCAACAGCTTGTCTCCGACGCGCAGCTTCGAGACCGGATCGTGGGCGGTGGAAGCGATGAGGAAGAGCAGGCAGTTGAACCATCCGCCCAGGGTGCTCGACACCACATTGTCGGTGTATCGACCGCGGGTGGTCTTGACCTGTAGGGGGTGAGGGAAGAGGAAGAGGCGGGAGGACGAGAAACAGACCCTGAAAGCGAGAAAGTTTTCCGAGTGAGCGTTGTAGTGGGTCGAGTACCACCAGTGCTGAGCGGCGTCCTCGCCCGCGAAGAGCGTCAGGTAGCCGCACCAAAGCTCTTGCAACTCTTGCCGGTGTCGAATGGAATGAGGACTGAAATATTGCTCGACCCTGGAGACTTCGTCGGCGATGTTGGCGTGTAGCTGCTCCAGGCTGATGCCCTCTGCCTCGCACAGGCGGGCGGCGTCGCGGGCGATCTTGTCAGCCTTGGTCTTGCCCGTGAACTTCATGAGGAAGAGGGGTGGGTCCGAAGAAGAGGACGCGGAGGAGGGACCGGCAGCGGGGGGCTGGAAGCGCGCGGTGGTGGTGGTGTGAGGCGCATATACGCATCGAAAACGGAGAGCGCACTCACCATAGCAGGCGGGTTCATCGTGAGAGGGCGAAGAGGGGGCGAAGGAGAGGAGAGGAAAGGAAGGAAAGAGGGCGAGGAGCCAAAGGAAATAAGGAAAGGCGGGGAAAGGAAGGAGAGGCGAGGGCATGCGGTCGAGCGTCGAGGGCTTTTGCGTGGAAAAGCGTTGGGGAGAAACGCGACGAATAGAGAGCGAGGAGCACTCATTGGGGTTGAGCGCGGGGGGGCGTTGAAAGTCGTCCACCGCGGACCCCATCGGGCTGGAGGGCGGGGGCGGATCGAGGAGAAGGATGAACGGCGACGGGCGGGGGATCGAGAGTTTAGGTTCGTGGGGTCGTCGGTCGTCCACTGCGATTGTCGTGTATGCGTCGGTGGTACGGTCCGCGGACGGGGGCCATCTGCATCCGGCGCCGTCGGAGAAAAACGAGCGGGGCGCCGAGATCTGGGCGAGATCGAGGTGAGAGGCCGAGGGCAAGGACGATGAGCGCAAGGGGAACGGGGGGAGGCGACGACAGCCATCGGAGGTGAAAGCCGGGGGTGTTGGGCGCAGGGAATGCGTCCGTCGAGGCGGGGAAGGGGTGCGCGCGTCGTCGCGGGGCTCAACACACGTGATCGCGTGGCGACGTGGCAGGCGGACGCGGTGGTCGAAAAGCGAGAGGCCAGTGGTGGAGAGAGGACGAAGGCGCACGCCGGGAATCCCCAGGCCGTCGCAACGCTCGCTGACGCTCGCGATGGCTAGGCCTGGGGGGCGGTACGCACGCCGGGGCGCCCAGGCCGAGCGAGACTCGCTGATGCTCGCCGTCGCTCGGCCTGAGGCGCGCGGGGCTAGGGTTGGGTCCGGGCGGGGAGGCCTCCAAACCCCGCTTCGCGGGGTTTGGAGCCCCCCGCCCTCCTCCAGGGCGTGGGTTCGAATCCCACTGTTGTCATGTTTTTTGAAACACACTCACAATATAAGTATGATCAAAGGGCCTTTCAAGAGCGACGGTGCTTGTGTGGTGATAAAATTGCTTCATAGGAGGTCGACGACACATTGGTGTCTGGTTTCCAGAGCCCTTTGACGAGTCACATTACTACTGTTCCTAGCTGTTCTTTAAGTTCGATGATCCCCTTCCATCACACCGTACGAGCATTGCGCGCAATACTGAAGTTCAAGCTGAGACTGTTTCATTCCTCGCAAACAAGAAGAGTCCGTATCCAAGGCTAACAGTCCATGCTCGAGAGCGCCAGTGGTAACGCAAGCCGTATCACGCGTCAGCAGCCACGATGCTGAACTTGCCCGACACGTTTCCCGAGTCACCAATGACTGCAACAGCAAACCGTGAGCAAACCAGGCATGCAGCAGGCACCGGGAAAAAACTCACGGACGACGACGTAGTCGTCGCGCGCCTCGACCGAGGGCACGGTCACCTTGGCTTTGCCCGAGATGAGCAAGAAACCCTCCGCGAGCGGGTGCACTGCAACGTTCGTCAGTCAGCCGTCTGCGGGCCCGACGCGTGCGTAGGAAGCGGTACGCACTGAGATCGAGGTGCTCGTTCGTGCTCCCCTCCTCGACGTGGCCGAGCACGAGCGTGCCGGGCGCGAACCACGCCTCGGGGGGCACGTCCGCCGTGTCCCACACGACGGTCTGCACCGAGCCGACCGCCCACTGCGCGCCCGCCGCGGGCGCGCTGATGTGCGGGGCGACAACGTTCTCCTCGTTGAAGTCCGAGGCGTCGAAGGTGCCGCTCGGGCTGGGCGCGGGCGCCGCGAACGCGACGGCGGAGACGGTGGCGAGCGTGGCGAAGACCTTGGCGAAGAGCATCTTGCTAGACGTGAGGTTTAGGAGGGGAAATGAGTTGGGGTGGCGGAACGAGCGTGTTCGTGAAACGAATGTAGGGGCGGAGCGTTAGAGCTGGCGGGGGAAGAGTCGGAGCCGGGAGCGAGCTGAGAGCCGGGGAGGTCAATGAGGAGAAGGAGGAGACTGTCGTCGCTCCGACTTATAACCAACCAGGCGTCGACCCTGCGGACTTGGACGCGCCGCCGAGGCCTGAAACTGCTAATCACGCTTGCGCCGTCTGTGGAGCTTCTGGCGTCGGCGCGCTCTCGATCTTCGTTTGCGAGCGCATCGCTCACGCGATCCGTCAAGCGCGAAGCGGGTGACCGCATGAGACGCGAGCACGGGCTACGCGAAGCACGCTAGCGTCCGTGGTCGTGAAAGTGCAAATGGCGGCATAGAGGGGAGATCCTTACCATTGACGTGAACACTGGTGACTAGTGAGTGTCAGAGACACGAAGAGACTACAAGAGAGCTTAGAGAGCTTACTGAACGTTCATTCGGTGTAGGATGGCCACTGGAGGATGTAGCTCGCGTAAATGAGCCGCGTATTTCTTACGGGGTGTGGCGGTGCACGAGCGAAGATGCAGTGATGCGAAACCTTCGAACGCTCCACACCATGACCCGCCAGAACGGGTTGCGCCCTCGTTGCCATGCAGCATGAACATTCTTGCGGTAGAGCCGGGGTTAGACACGGAACCCGGAGATACAGTATCATGAGATGACGTGTGAACTCACTTCGGAGGAGTCTGCCGAGCTTGGACGCAGAGGGCAATCCCAAGTAAGTATCTCGCATACAGTCAAGGGGAATGCAAAGCAAGTACATTGTACCGAGCCACATAGTCTCTAATGTACACCTGTGTCAATTATCGTGGGCTTGCGAGACCAGAAAACATATCGACAGCGAGAACACGTAAAACATGAAGTTACCATGCACTGAACGAGAGAGCCTAGTGGTGAGTACAGCGAGTGAGCATAGTCATAGAACACGAGAGGGCACGGATTCGTCACGGAGAAACAGCTCGACATGAAACAAGACTCGACGTTCACAGCTGGCCGCCGCCAAACAACAGCGTCTTTGGGGTGGACACCTGTCCTCCCAGACGCGCAATCTTCCGGGAGATGCGCTCGCTTGTCGGGCTCTCGACCAGGTCCGAGTCGTCGCTTGGCGGGTCGTGGGTGAAGAGGCAGGTTTGTTGCTGTATGCGGCGGACTGCAGGCGACATCAGACGGTGTGGGGTGACCTGTCCCAGATGAGGATCATCATCGGAGGCCAACAGGTCACTGCTCTGACGGTGCGGGGTCGCCATCATGATAGAGTCATCTATAACAGGGGTGTAAGCATACACTTCAAGCACGGCGAAAAGATTAGACATACCACTACCGAATAGAGGCTCGTCAATGGACTTGTTAGAGGGAGAGGACAGCAAATGCCGGGCTTCTTCGCGGAGGTCCTGCACGCGATTCGTTCTACGCTTCTTAGGCGTGGTTAGCCTCTGGAAGTCGACCGGTCTGCCAAGGAGCTTCGTCGCGGAGCGCGTCCGTCGGATCGTCGGCTGCAGACTCTCGTCTCCGTTCGTGCTGTCCAACCTGACTGTAGATGTCGATGGCTCGCTCGCAGAGGCTGAAACAGAAGGCAGAGAGCGACTCCGACGCCATTCCTTGAGTACCACGTTGAGGGAGGGGACCTCGACAGCCTCCACGAACACGCCCTTGCGCTTGCGCGATGCTACAGTAGGCGAGTTCATAACGGAGTTGCTGTCGTCGACGTCCGCAAGCAGTTTCGTGACCGCCGCTGAGAAAGTAGCCTTTGTCGACAGCATGGGGATCGACGGATTGTTTGCGAGCGTGACTGCATGAACAGGGACGTTGGCAAGGGGGGATGGTGCAAGAGGAGAAGGTTCTAGGCGGCCCTTCTTGAAGGCCTTCACCTCCAAGTCTGCTGCATCCTCGGGCTCGTCGACGCGAACGCGTTTGCCCAAGAGAGACTCTAGAAGGAGAGGCGAGCGAGCAGATAACCGTTCGGCGACAGAGGCAGAGAGGAGAGTTGGCGACACATTCTCCTTGTTCACCTTCGATGTCGGTCGTTTGGGAGTGGTAGGTGTGCGAGGTGGAGAACGGCCAACGGAGAAGCGCAGTGGGGAGGAACCGTCGATGTCCTCGGGGTCGTGAACCTTGATGCCCGACTTGTGAGGACGGGTCGGAGCGAGTGCACGAGGACTCGACGGGGGTGTCGAGAGCGCGCGGGTAGGAGCGTCCCGAGTCCGGGACGCGTCAAAGCCCTGAAGAGTACCAGGTGAGGGAATGACGACGGAGCCTTCGTCTTCGCTCTCGCACGCGTCGATCTCCATGAGCTCTTGAGTGACAGCAGTCTTCTTGACTTCCGCCACGGGACTTGGTGTTTCGCTCAGAAGAGCCGTCATATCCTCGACCTTCGCCTCGTCCTCCTGCTGTTCCAGGCGCGCTTGCGAAACGGCGTCGAGGCATTGCGCAACCAACTCGGGATAGCCCGTGGCGGGCTCTGGCATGGCAGCGTACGCGGCTTGCCAAAACTCCGCGAAGGCGTCCACAGCACCAACGTGTCTGTCCTTCCGGCCCTGGAATGGTGCCGCGAGCACAGGTGCCATCTTCTCGAGGATATCCAGGCAAGGCGGCAACTCCTGCAGGCTGACGAGGACCGTTTGATAGAGAGGAAGGATCTGCAACGAATTAAGTTCAGTCAATAACTCCAGCCTGCAAGTACGAGTGTACATACATCGCTCGAGTACTCTTCTTCCGAGCAGATGTGCAGGTCGTCCGTGACCCAAGTGCTAATGCTTTCTGCAAGAAGCTCGAGGAGCATGAGGCAGAGTTTTTGAGGACACTTGTCGACCAAATGCGTAACGGATCGAATGAGCCACATGCAGATGACCTTGTGCTTCGGCTCCGCCGGGTACGCCGCGTAGAGGGTGTCGTTGGTGAAGTATAAAGTGGTCGCGGGAAGGGAGCACGCATCCATCAACTCCGTGTTGCACAGGAGCTGGTCCGCGATCCGAACGGTGTTGATAGTGGACGGTCCTTGGTTGCCGGTGATTGCGCCTGCGATTTGGTCGACGAGGGAGTTGACGTCTGCGCCTTGGTCCATACCGATACCGAGGGCATGTGGTAGGAACCTGGTCCAAACTTCCAGGTCTTCCGTTCGCAAGTCCCAGCAACTCGTATCGACGAA